ATAAATTTACAAATCATATGTCACTTTTTTAAAATAAAGAAGCGATATATAATTTATGATAAATTATTATCACGAATAAGTTAGATAAACATTATCCTATAGAACTATAAATCATCAAAAGTAAACTAATAAAAGGTGAACTAATTTCATAAAAAGTTGTCAAAATCGTCCTAACTAAAAAAGAATAGATTTTTAAAAAATTGTCAAAATTGTTACAATTCAAAAAGAATGATTTTTTAATGGTAAAACAAAAATGACAAAAATGAGTTTGTTTATGTTAAAAATATATTTTTTTTGTCGCGCGCGCGAACGGTTTCAGGAGGACGTATTTTGGTTACATTTGTTTCTCTAGATGAATGCGCTAAAAAATATCAAGATCACTTACATTTAAAAAAAGTGGAGGTGATCATATCTTTTTTACTAGATCCAGAAAAAACGTGACAAAATGCGTTCAATACGTCGAAACCGTTCCACTGTGTGTTATCTAAAACATTTTTTTGTATCATCAATCATTTCAAAGAAAATTGATTTATATTAATTAAAGTAGGATTACTTATATATATAAAAAAAAATTTGTAAATTTACATATTAAATATATTATATTTATATTTATATTTTAGAAAGAGTTAAGCTTCATATACAACGTAAACAACATAACTTATCTGACATTTAGAACTCCGCAATGAATAATAGAACACGATAAAGTCAAATCAGTATAAGTTATAACGGAACTTCTTTAGCCGTATTTTTTATTATCCAACTCGTTCCGGAGAGGAAAGTTTAAGAGGCTATACAGTCGTGTAATAAAGTCAACCAAATCTTCGCGTGATTTATGTATTCACCGCATTGTGAGGTCAACTTTTTTGCTGAGGCGTGACCCAAGACAAATTCCACCATCAGATTTAATATTACAGCATCCTTCCTGGTGCGACCGGCTATCCTTCTTGACCCTCGAATCACAAGAGGTACGGTAACTGACATAAAGCAGCATCCTTATCTATTGAGCCTCCAGGAAGGTTCGCGGCACGTTTGTGGAGCCGTCATCGTCGATAATAAACGGGTTGTCACGGCGGCTCATTGCGTCAGGTATATACATACATATTTCTTTCCCCCTTGGATATCACATTATCTCATTACAAGGCAACATCTAAATCTTCATAAGATGTTTAAGCTAATTACATTTTATCCTTATCTTTGAAACGTCTTCCAACTAATTTAATACTCCTCATTAAGTGTCAAATATAATCGCAGCATCATTATCACAGGACGTATTTACTTTCTTCTTGCATATTTCAACAGTATACAAATTCGGATAGAGGAAGATAAAATTGTAAACTTTATCATAAATTTCCATAACAATGCAATTTTTCAAGCGTGTCTGTTTTTGAGTATCCAATTCGCGAATGCCTAATTAGGAAGAAGGTAAATACGGCTCTGATAATGAGCCAGTGCGATTAGTTAAAACTCAGAAACAGAGAAATCTTTCCTGGGAAATTCTACAATCCATTTTACGCTTTCATAAACTGAATATAACTCCTATCTGTAGTAGAATAATTATTATTTAAAGTAGAAGTTCTACCGCTTCAAGTTCACGTCCCGAATCGTCGTGTTAAAATTATACAAGTTGAAAATTGTACAATAGGAATAAATTTGGGCTCTAAAAAAATATAAATCAAAAGAATATAAAGTACCTGTAAGTACCTGTATAAATGCAAAGAATATAAAGTTCCTATAAATAGCCAATATAATATAAAGTACCTATAACAAACAACAACAAAAAAAGAATTGGGTCATATATTCTCATATAAAAATATAAATGTTTCGACTCTCGTTCTGGACCATCCTCGGTGCATAAAATTTATTGCTAATAATAAAATTCGTACAACTTATAAAGTATAATTATATGTAATGACGATGGAAACTGTCATACAAAAAATAAAATGAAGTACATAATTAATTAATTAAGTAACGCAAAGATCCAGTAAATTAATTATATAGAAAAAAGTCGGATACCTGACTTATTCAGAAATGGTCAGCATTGAATTTAACAAACACAAATAGTTAAGTACCGAAGATTTAAAGTACAGACAGAGAAGAGATCTTGTAGAAAATTGTAGGCACGTTTGTGAAATCACCTATCTAATAGAGCATTTTCTCATAAATGATCTGTAAATTTTATCATAGCGTAGTTGCATAACGTGCGCTTATATCATCATGATATTTTCATATACCAGCATATACATTCTGTTCCAGTTTGCCGGCGAGCCTTTACAGACTTCACGCAGGAAGTAACGACAAATACGAGGGAGGCACTTTTCATTCAGTTAAAAAGATCGTTCAACATCCCGCCTACAATTTCCGGACGGAGGATTACGATATTGCCCTCCTCGAGGTAACATCGACCTCTATCTCTTTCTTCTTCTCTTTTGCTTCCTCGCCCCGATCTCTCTGTTTTTGCTCGTTAACGACTCTGCGCCAGCTGACAATAACAACATCGGTAGTTCTCACACACTCTGGAAATTTCATTTCAGATCGTCGACGAATTCGTATTTAACGATAAGGTGCAGCCAGTGAAGCTTCCAAAAAAGGAACTCGCGGATGGTGTTATGGTGAACGTTACCGGATGGGGCGCGGTGGAGGTAAGTGCACGGGGAATAGACTCATTATTTGAACGTTGCAGAAAACAAATGGAGCTAAATAATAGCAAATTTCGCCCAGTCGACCAAGCACGACTCGAAGATTTCACAGGAGCGCTATTCCGTATCGGAAATCGTACCACACAGTATTCAGTGTACGATAAAAAAAAATCGATATCCCCTGCGTCCTATTTGTAATGATACTAAATTACGTTGCGGCTATATTAAAGGTATTAAATTACTGCGCCATTGTTAAATTACTTCATCCATAGACTTCCCTTTCCGATCTGGCGCAAAACAACTTTCGTAGCATATCCTCTGCTAATTCCTCGATGCTGATATCTGATAACCGATATCGACTCCGTTCTATATATAGTTTCTAAGTGTTGGTATCTGTACTTTACGGGGACGATTGGAGTGGGTGATCATTACGCATTATATGCTACAATTATATGGTCATATCGATAATTCTAACACGCTCTAATTAAGGACGTTCTCCGAAAAAAAATCCATTTTCTTTAGATTTTTCTGAAACTTACAGAATAAGCTTGTTTTAGTGTCCTACGAACATAAGTGCTTTAACTCAATATCCGGAGTGGAATTAAAAATCGAAATATTCCACTTCAAAGTTGAAGCATTTAAAATATATATACATACATATATATATATATACTAAAATCCATTTTCTTTAGATTTTTCTAAAACTTACAGAATAAGCTTGTTTTAGTGTCCTACGAACATATGTGCTTTAAAACTCAATATCCGGAGTGGAATTAAAAATCGAAATATTCCACTTCAAAGTTGAAGCATTTATAATATATATACATATATATACATACATATATACATATATATATATACATTATACACATAGGATCCCTATCTAAAGCTTATTCGAAAGTACTCTCATCTAAATCTGAATCAGTGGATAGTCACTAATTACTCAGTGGCATACTTGGCACTGATATCAGTAATTATCTATTGATTCAGATTTAGAGAGTAATCTTTTTATTCACTGTAAAAAAGTTTTTCTTAACAATTTTTTGAAACAATGAGACATAAAACTTGATATCACAAGGAATAATATGAAATTTGTCTAAAATGGCTTCCGGTATTCGTTTTTAAGAAATTATTAAGTAAAGTAAGTAGCAAAGTAAGTAAAGTTGCTATTTTTTCGACCGACGGCAGTAGCGAAGGCGGAAGGCATTTTATATTGTATAAAAAAACTTGTATAAAAACATTAACACTTATGGAATATCTTATACTATATAAAAGTGAAATAAATTTTCATAAAAATTTTCATAATGGTGAGCACTAATGTGCTCATTAGGCACTAATGTGCTTCATTGAACACAACTGCAGTCGGAGAACGCCCTTAAGACGCGTAATCAAAATGGTCGATATGTGTTAATTCAATCAATTCAATTTACGGAAATTGTAAAATAATTTCTATTTTAGGAAGATGGAAAATCATCACCAATGTTAATGACAATATCGCTTCCGATTGTGAACAAAACAACGTGTCAAGATACATATAAATATATCCACCGCATCACCAATCGAATGATCCGTGCGGGTAACATGCATGGCGGCCAAGATGAGTGTGTAGGCGATTCGGGCCGGCCTCTTACGGCGGGTAGTACTCTCTTAGGAATTACATCCTGGGGATACAATTGCCTTACGTTGTTGACACCCAGTATTTATGCAAGTGTGGTTATCCAAATATTGAGTGGGTCAAATATAATATTTGAGATTTGACAATTACGCTCTTTACTATGCATCTTAATTTGTGGATGATAGAACAGCGTTATAATTATGCTCTCGTTAATATTAAAAAGTATTAAAAAGTATAAATTAAAATAAACAATATAATAAAGAAAATAAACTAACGATATTAGTATTGATGTTGTAAGTACTCAACAAGCTCAAATGTTTTAATTAAATGATGTAAAAATAAAGTGCTTGCGCCTTTCTGCCCCCCCCCCCTCTCTCTCTCTCTCTCTCTCTCTCTCTCTCTCTCTTCACACTAGAAGTTTAATTAGCTATCATAATCTAACATGGTTATATCATTATTGGCCGATCGATAAGGTATCACTTATGCATATGTTACGTGGTTGTGTATACCAATTAGTTTGACACACAAACATTATCTCAGAATTGAATTACGCTTCTAATGTAACAATTCCAAATTAATCGCGCGGCATTCTTTCATATTTCCTGATAACGATTTGTTATAATTTTGAACATAGATAATGCGATACTAAAAATTTATCATGGACAGAAAATAAGTTTCCATTCGCAAATCATTCTGTGACACAATCGCTTCATGCAAGAATCATTACTCGTGGCTAATTAGTGTAAAAAAATGTTTCAAAAACTCATTTTATTATTCTGCGTACTTTTAGCAGTTTTAGTATACAGTGAGTCAAATTTTTTTTACATATCCGCACTTTTCACACTGAATTGTTTTACATAAATTGTGATTACAGTTGTTAATACCGAAAAGCACGAATATGTGGTCATTGAGGATTATCCGTACCATGTGAGAGAAATTCATTTCTTTTTTTTTTCCATTTGCGATAGCTTGTAGTATCTACCGTGCGTTCCGCCGGCAAATAAAACTATATGCCATTCACATGTGGCTTTAATCGGTAGTCAGTACAGCACGGTGACTGTAAGCCGCTATTATTTTCAAATAAATCGGATTTCAGATAGAATTCGTTATTCCAATACAGGTATCGATCCAGATAGCCGGACTACACGTTTGCAGCGGCGCGTTCATACATGAATCGTGGATTATGACCGCGGCATCCTGTGTTTTTAGGTACGTGCTACTGCAAAAGTAATAGTATATAGGACGTTCCTCTTGAAAACCATGACTTTGATTTTAAAAGATTCCTTCATGAATTTAAAACTGACTTTATAAAGCTGACTTTATCTTAGGATTTAGAAATATTAATATTTTTTAGTTTTGAAATAAGCAATATGAATTGACAATATGTTTTATATTTTTTAACTTTCAGATTTTATAGTAGTTACGTTTTGTACAGGAAAGGGACAATTTTGCTAAGATATTTAAAAAATTGGCTAGATCCTGGTTAGATTGAAAACAATTTTGTCCATGAAAATATTATAATTATGTAGGAAACTAAATATGTCGATTAACAAAATATTGATACATTTCATTAAAATGCTTATTAATATGTCCTTATAGTGTAAAATCATCGATGGTATCCGTACGCGTGGGTTCCTCTTATACCTCCAAGGATGGGGATGTATTAGAAATAGATAAAATCGTGATGCACGAAAGTTTTGATAAGTATGTATACCTCAACGATATAGCATTGATGAAGGTACGTATCTCCATTTATTGAACAAACACCTTACGCGCCCGTGTTTTATTAGTTTATCGCATGCGCGCCTATGCAAAGTTGTCACATTTATCAAACTTGTAGCTAAAGAGTCCTGCAGAGTTTGGAGAAAAGTTGCTTCCTATCGGACTGCCGGAAAATGAAAAACTCCAGGATGGGACCCATTGTGTCGTGACTGGCTGGAACCGAACTCGGGTAAGACTCGAGTGAGACGCGTAGCTTTAGTCTATTTTGAAATTTTCACAATCGTTTACTCGAAAATACCGTTTCTTATCGTTTGACGAAGTATCCAGGTGCCATGACACTTGGGGAACGCGTAACTCCGTCGTTCTTCCGCGGTGAAATGCTTCTCCTGGAGTTAGCAACTTCCCTGGAACGAGATTTTTACAACGAGCGTATAGGCATTTTTACAGGAACTTGGATATGTAAACTTTCTACAACTTCCCGCCAACCGGTTGGCACTCGCACACGATGTTATTCAAAGTCACGTCGGTACCAAAAAGTAAATCGTTACGAAACACTGTCGCAAAACGTTCGCGCGCGTTTGTAACCCTCCACCTCCCCCCGTTTTGCTACGACGAGGTCGCAATAACGAGAAACGTGTCGTAAAAACGTGCGAGCCGTGCCAAATTTCCAGGGGACCAGCAGCCCAAGCGGAGCTCAGCTCGCGACGGCCGCTGTGGCGATCGTAAATCAACGTACGTGCGAAGCGATGATGCCGAGCTACAAGCCGCTGTCTGAGGATATGTTGTGCGCTAACGCGACTCGCCCGTCGGAAAGGTGTCAGGTAAGATAAACATATAAGACGAAAGTGACGCGACATAACTCGGCTCGAGAAACGGGCGCGGTGATCCGTGAAGGGCTCGCGTGTATGAAACCCGCGACAAACTGTGGACGACACTAGAGAGAGCGTCGACGACACCGACAAGAGGCGCCTCGACCTCGTCGTCGCATGTCACGACACTTGGCACGCGTGCACGGTGTATATGCATCATCTACGTGCTATTGAACCGGGTGCACGCTCTCGTGTGTCAAGCCCAGTGAATCTGACAAAAAGTACTGTGCGAGTTGCCAAAATTATTGCGAAATGTTCTTTTAATCGAGAATATATTAGATGATAATAATATAGATAATAATAATAATAAGGTTTTAAACCAATTAACCCGAGAATAGTGACCTGATTTTTTTTAAGATCATCTGGATTGTTTTTAGAGGCAAAAAGTTCAAATCGAATTAAATCATAATGGATTCGATTCGATTTATTTTCGAATCTGAGAAATTCGAAATGGAATAAAATTAAAATTTCAAATTATCGGTGGTTCGATTTAAAATTCGACTTTTTTTCCTTCATTTTGATGTAAATCTGGGAAATTTTTATTCGATTTAATTCGAAGCAAAAATTTCAATTTCGATTTAATTTGATTCGACCTCATTAATGCTTGATTCGCACACCTTAGTGTTTTAATATCCTAATTAAAATCACTATTATTAAAAACATATTATATATTAATCGTTTTCCAATTTATTAGTGCTTGAGGACGTTATGAACATAGAATTAATTATAATTTTCTGAGAAAAGCAAATAGAGAAACCAAACAAATATTAAATGGAAGGAATACGTTAAGCAGCTTATTATGATATTGTAGTATTTCTAAAAAAATTAATTGAATTAACATGATATTTTCTTGTTGCGGGTTTTCGATGGACCTGAGTATTTAAAGAATAGTTATTACAATTTACATTTTCTTGCCGCTAGAATATAAAAATATCCCAGTGACTATTCTCAAGTTAATGAGTAAAATGTTTTTTTATATAAACAATTCTCAATATATTCGTCAATTAATAAATATGATCCTTGATCATATTTATTAATTAAATAAACAAGGAAAGGACCAATATGATCGAGACTAAATCTTAGTGTCTAATATTTTTATATGTAAATTTTAAATACATCTTTCAGTTACATGAACGCGTCATAAAACACTTACTATCGGACTTAAAACGCAATTATATAAACTAAAATAACATTACAATTAAATTGACCATCGATTTAATAACGCGCGCGCGCGCGCGCAATAGAACTAATACTTTAAAAACCTGTTAAGAATTTATTGCAATAAATATTATCTCATCCCCCCCAGGATTCAAACATAGAACTCCTTAACTATCTGGAACGGACGTCATATTTATTAATTAACAAATTTATTTAGAATTATTTTAAAAAACTAATACTCATCTCTCTTGTTTGTTAATTGACCTATCATAGAGAATAAATAATGAGAAATGGTTTACAATTGTATTAATAATGGTTTATCTATTATTACGGAATGTTATCAGCTGAAACCGATTGAGATTATTGAGATTTTCGAGTAATTTCGAGCACCAATATCGATATGTGAATCTAAGCGCAATCTCGTAATGATCTCGCGAGGAACAGCGATATGTGGAAAATGCGAGGCGCGTAAATTAAGAGCAGTCGATGGTAGTCGAATTCCAATTGTGCCATGGCCACGAGTGTACAATTACATCAATGGAGTCAATAGTCTTTCCGCAAGTACACGCGCGGCTGGTTCAGGTGTCGGATGCACCAGATCGGCGAACAATGCAGCACTTGACTCGAGAACGCAATTTCCACGAGACGCCGAAGCACCGCAAGCGAAATGCGAAGAGACTCGCGCCGGGCTAGAAAAATTCCCGTTATTTCGCGACGTGACTATATGCGATCATGTTCGAAGACCGCGGAGCACGAAAGTCTCTCGTATGTGGACACAATGTTTTTGTAAAACGTACCTTATTATATTTAAAATAAATTTATGTAGCGAAGGTTCAGATTCGGTAGGGATTTTGTAAAGATTTATATACAACTCTTGAGGCTTTTTATTGCAGCTGTTAAAAATTATAAAACAAAAGCCTCACACACACACACACACACACACATACACGTGAAGTATTATTTTTAAAAAGAAAAAGAGAAAAAGGATTAAAATTAAAAAAAAAACATATCAAGATATTGTGTGCTACACCAGTGCTGTAATCCATCATATAGCGCTTCGGTTCCTAGCAATTAGCGCGAGTAAAGCTTCCAGCGATTATAACTATCATGATATTATTGTCTACAGGGTGATCTAGGTGCGCCTCTAGTGTCGGAGCAGATGCTGATTGGCATTCTATCCTATGGATTAGGTTGCGAAACCAGGATACATCCTGATGTCTATACTCGTGTCAGCAGCTACTTATCTTGGATCTTTATGAAAACTGGCATCTTTTTTTAAATAAGGCAGTATATACATACGATTGACATATTCACTTGCAATTAATTATGTACAAATTATAACATACCGTACTTTTCTTATTAATAAATTCTGCAAATTGCCATAAATATACTGA